TTAAGAATTATAATTTATAAATTATAGTTAAGCATAGGATTTTTAATGAAATTATAATTAACTACAATATATTTCTTCATAAAACCATTAAAATATATTAATTTATCGTATATACACCTCATTGAGGTCTTATATTTAGTATTATTGATGTATTTTTATGATTTATTAAAGTATTTATAGTGTTTACAAGCGTATTTATGTGTATCTTAGTTTTTCTCTGATACGCATGCATATCCAAAGTGTATCCCGATACGTCTCTTAAAATTGCCTTTCCGATACACTTGGTGTTTCCGATACTTTGAACCTTGCTCCTAGGTGGTTTTTTTTTTTTTTTTGATCAGCAATTCAGAAAAGATTCATTAAATTAACAGAATGTGTACAACAAGAAGTTGTGGGTAGACAAAAAGTCCACATAAACGCCACTAATTACAATGCAGACCCAAGCTTAACACAACAAAAAAATTCATTAGTTACAGACAAGCCCCAAAAGGACCCAAAGGATATCCCACTAGCTATAATATAGCCCAGAGCATAGCTTGCCTTTGGACTCCTTGCTTAGATAGACAGACCATCAGCTATGCTATTAGCTGATCTCCTAATCCATCTTATGTGAATTTCCATATCTTTAGAAGCTTGCTTAAAGCGCCTGAACTCATTTCTTAATCTCCAGATTGATCCTTCCTCTTTTTTTAGCCAGTTTACAACAACTTTTGAATCCCCTTCAATAACCAACCTGTTAATCCCCAGGTGGGTATTTCACATTATTCACTCTATACAGGGGGTGGGTCCTCACCCATACTAATTCTCAAGCATGGTACATGGAAACAATTGTTTCATCTAATATAAATAAAATACAATTAAGTATTTCATGAATAAATATAGCAAAATAATTAAGTCTCACGAGCAAAGCTGTTCCAGCAGTTGTGGTCTGAATCAAAAAGAATGGGCAGAGGAGGGAGGGGATCCCAGGTTTGGTGTGCAAACTGGATACAGAAAAAGCTTATGACCATGTAAACTGGAGATGCCTAGATTCCGTGTTGGAAAAAATGAATTTTGGACAAAAATGGAGGAATTGGATGAAAAGTCTGTGTTTCTTCCCCAAAGTTCTCCATTCTGATAAATGGCCAATCAGCAGGTTTCTTTGAGAGCTCCAGAGGACTTATGAAAGGAGATCCTTTGTCTCCTCTGCTTTTTATTTGTATAGCTGATATCCTATCTCTCTTCAGTCTAAGGGTGGCTGAATCTGGTTTGTGGGAAGGGTTTGCAATTTCCCTAGGGGAGGAAAAAGGCAACATCCTCCAATTTGCTGACGACACCTTATCCTTCATAGATGCATCCCCGGAGTAGTTGGAAAACTTACTAGGGATTCTCAGCTGGTTTGAAGTAGTGACCGGTCTGAAAGTCAACCTCAATAAGAGTCAAATTATCCCAGTGGGTCAAGTTCCTAATTTGGAGGATTGTGACAGTGATGACTTGTCGGGTGGAGCCTCTACCTGTGAAATACTTGGGGCTGCCCTTGGGAGCAAAATGCTCTTCAGCTATCTGGGATCTAGTAATTGAAATATTGGAGAAAAAGCTTTCCTCTTGGAAGGCAAAATATCTTTCTTTTGGAGGAAGAGTAACCCTTTTAAAAAGTAACCTTTCAAATCTTCCTACTTCCTTTCCCTCTTCCCTATCCCAGCAAAAGTGGCAAAGAGATTGGAGACTCTTCAAAGGAATTTCTTGTGGAGAGGTAAGAAGATTCATCTTGTCAACTGGGAGCAAATCTGTCTTCCTATGGAAGAAGGGGGGACTGGGTTTAAGGAAAATTAAGGTGACTAATTTGGCTCTTCTTAGTAAATGGATATGGAGACTTGCCTTAGAAAGACGAGCTTGGTGGAGAAACCTGATTGCTGCCAAGTTTGGGGTAGAGTGGGGAAATTGGAGATCGAGAGATCCACGTCCTAATTGGGGCTGTTCTTTGAAAGGCATAATGAAATGCTTTCCCATGTTTAGAGAGTGCTTAAGTTTCAAAGTAGGCAGAGGAGATAGAATCAGATTCTGGAAAGATCCTTGGTGCTTGGAAAACCCTTTGGCTGAAGTTTTTCCTCTTCTTTATCAGTGAACCACCAATCAGAATGCTTTGATTGCTGACTCTTACACCTTCTCGGATAATGAGGTGACCTGGGCTCCACAGTTCAGAAGAAGTCTTTTTGATTGGGAATTGGACGAAGTTATGAGATTGTTGGAAACATCAGAGTATCAACTGCAGTCAGGACGATCAGTGGACATGGAGTTGGTCTAAAGAGGGTAGCTTCTCAATAAAATCAATGGCTGGTATGCTCAGTAGCAGATCTGCAGTGGGGAGTGAGGACTCTTCCATCTAAGCAGATTTGGATTTTGGAACTCAATCGGTCCCTCAAAAGTAAACTTCCTAGTCTGGACTATGGCTCTAAATAAATGCCTGTCCAGAACCAACCTAGAAAGAAGAGGCTTGCAGATTTCTGATAACTCTTGTGCTCTTTGTGAGTCACATCCAGAAACTACTGATCATCTTCACATTCACTGTCCGGTTGCTGCCCAGGTGTGGGACCATTTCTTAAAGGCTGTGGGGATTTGTTGGGTCATGCCAAAATTTGTGAAGGATTTGCTCTGCAGCTGGAAAATCAGAAACCTGAAGAAAAAGGGAAGCTAATTTGGAGTACTTTCCTATCCATGGCAGGTTTCTGTTTGTATCTTCAATTTTCCTAATAAAATTACCTTACCTTTTCCAAAAAAAAGGGCAGAGGAAAAGACAATGGAAATGGAATGCCAAGAAATAAAGATCAGTGTTTTTCCCTTTTTCTATCGATAATAAAAGATCTAGTAAATTTATTTATGTGTTAAGAAAACAACAGAACTTAACTCATATTACCAAACAGTTTATTGAAAAACTAATTAGAATTATATGGACTTACCCAGAGTTGTAAATCCAGGCTCTATTCTTGCTCGATTTAAGAGAGTTTTTACCACCTCATCTTTATTCATATACAACTGTAGACAGCGTTCAATCAAATTCTGGACCTGCAACAACAAATCAATGCAACAGATGTTAAAACTAGAAATCTAGAATTAATTGAAAATCCTTTTGAAAACAAGGAACATATAGAATTTCTTACAAGTTCAATATCCTCACGAGAAACCTTTCTGCTATCATTACTTGAGACAGATATTGAACCCGAGTCTGCTACAGGAGCCTCAGCTGTCGTGTTGTTTGGTTGGTCACTTTGTGATTCATGTGACACCTGTGTTGAGGATTGTATTTCTGGTGTGCTCTGTGAATCCTGAAGGAGTTCTCTTCAATTTAGTGGCATGCCGAAAATGTAATAAAGCAAGACAAATTAGAATGAAATTCTATAAAAAAGACACCAAGTTAGAAAAGTTGTAACTTAAAAGGTTTAAGGGCAATCTGAGCTGCACCAATGGCCATAAGTTAATTGGTCCCCACTACCCGGGACCTTGGGAGTGGTGGACTGGATACTGTCTTGAACTTTGTCTATACACAATTATCTGTAAGTTGAGAAAATGCAATTGACAAGTAGCAAATTATCAGTATATCTGATTTGGGATCATTAATCAGCAGCTGGTCCATTCACCGAGTCTCTTATGATTTAGGCAAGCCAAGTCATTGTTGATGATAGATAAAAATGCATGCATGCAAACATAGAAAGAAGTTTAAATTGATTAACATAAAAAATAATAGAAAAATATAATATTACCTGTGTGGTCTTCATTTCAGTTTACAGCATGCTTGACTGCATCCTCTATCCCCAATTTAGATTGGCATCCAATTAATTTGTTGGCAATTCTAAGGTTGATGAGATCAAAGCTTATCCTTCCTAATCAAGCTTTACAATGCTGATAAGTTCATAGCACTTCACCTGGAAGGAGAGAGATATCAGGGACGCACAAAAACTAAAAAAAAGGATTTATGCAGGCTATGCAGCTTAGGAATAAGAAAAGGTATCTCTCCAGGAGACCAAGATAAGTACTCTATTGGGCCCTACCAATGCAACCAATTCTCTCTAGGAGGCCAAGATGAGTGTCAGTTACTTTAAATCCCAACTTCACTCATTCATTTGAAAGAATAAGAAATCTCTAATTTGTCAGGATTTAAGGGCATTGCGAATATTGTTACTTTTTAGTTTTAGTTAAGTTTTAAGTTGTAATGTTTTTAGCAAGATATCCACAAAGTTTTCTTCGACCTTAAGCTGGAAATACCAAACTTTTCTTTAGGGCTATTTTTCATAGATCAAAACTTCTTTTTTTTTTATTTTGATATATCTAGCGATTTTTTTTGAGTGAACTATCAAACAAGACCAAGATCTTGTAAGTCCCATGTAGATTTGGAAATCTATTAACAATTTTTTTTTATCAAAAGAAATCTATTAACATATTATTAGAAGGGTATCAATGGATATGGAAGTGAAACTAGAGTTCTTGTTTTTATTTGAATCTTACTTGAAGAAAGTGTTACAATCCAGTTTCACCAAAGTTGCTTCATCTTGATTGTTTGAACATGTATATTTAGCATCCAGCAAAGGCAAGTCCACCAACTCCCATCTTTCCATAAATTCAGCAAGCCTCTAATTCCCCCATTCGATTTGGATCCCACCATTTCTTTTCATGAGCAAAGTTAATATTGTTGAGATCTCCCCCTACAACCTAGGGTTTGTCCCATCTTTAATACCATCAAGTTCTGCCTTCCCTCAATTTGTTCTCATTTGGATCATACATTGAGGTGAGAACAAACTCCCAACCATCCTTTAGTGAGCTACACCATATTGAAATAAAAAATTGCCCCATTTCTGGGCCCTTGACCTCTATTGTGTCTTTGTCCCATATCACTACCAAGCCCCCAGATGTGCCTTTATCCAACGATGTTACCCAATTTTTTTGACCAATTACAATGTTACCCAATCACAGCTATGATCTTCCCAAATGCTTCTGATAATTTGAGCTCCCACTAGTTCTATCCTGATTTCTTGCAAACAGAGAATATCTATGTCTTCACATGAGAACCGGTCACCATTCTCCTACGGCCTGAATTCAGACCGCAAATATTCCATGAGACTATTTTCATGGTTGGTCCCTCTAGTAATGTACAACTAGCACCTCCTCCCTTAATCAGGGGGAGCTTCTTCCTCTCCTTCCCTCCTTACCATCCTTTGTCGCTACCCCTACATTTTCATTTAAGTCCCATGCTAGCCTAAAGAGTTTTCTCTTAAGTCCTCCTTCCCTTTTTACCCTTCTCCTCTAGTGTTCTCCTCTCCACCTCCATCAGAAAAGTTATTGTTTCCTCCTCCATCCCTTTCAGTGGCACTCCTAGGAAAGAACCAAATTCCAAAAGCTTTGATAGCATCCAAGATGGTGGTTCTGCATTCAATCCTCCACTTGTGAGTGCCACATTCAAATTAACCTATTGTTACCATCAAAACTCCTTCTCTAGGTATTTCTCATTTTTATTTGGACTAGCTAGGCCATGGACATGTAAAGCATGTGCAAGGCTTGATGCTTTGTTTATGACAAGGGAGATGTATATGTAAAAGGTTAAGAAGGCCTGCATTCTGCAGCTTGGTACATGGTTTTTAGTTTAGGTGAAATTTCACAAAATTTCATGAAATTTTGATTTCACTACAAGAGAATGAAATCAAAAGCACCAAATTTCTCTCTAAAACGTTTTTGACAAAAATTCAAGATTTCATTGAAATTTGGGAGGGGGGGGTTAACTATTTTTAGATAATATTGAAGGTAGAGGAGCTATGAAGGATGGGCTACCCCCATTGTGTAGCCCAATGAAAATTTTGATAGTGGATTAGCAGTTTTTTAGGTTGCATGGCCTAGCCCATCCCACACCTTTAAGTGTAATAATATTTGTCTGGGCCTATAGGCTTGCCCGTGTTAATTATAAAACTATGGTTTTTTACAAATTAAAATTTTTATCTAATTCTAGTCTACTATATATATATATATATAACATTTCTATACATATTAAAATAAAATTTGTTATCTAAATATTATATAATAATATTTACCATATATGCATATAACTTCCAAGTTGAGCTTATTAGGGGTTGCTTAGCTTGGGCCATATCCGCTAGGGCCATCATTAGACTCCGAAAGTTCGATACCCAATTAGACTTCGAATTCGATTATCCTAGATTTGGATGTTAGAACTTGCATCTGGTTAATAATTCGATTGGATGTGGATTTAACCCCATCCAATTTGATTAAAATCCATGTCTAATAAAAGATTATTATTTTGTATATGTAGTATAATTATTGTATACACAAATATATTATGTGTAGCTATACATATATGCATTTATGCTTTAAAATTCAAAATTTAACATAATAATAATAAGATGTTAGAAATTTCATAATCGATGTTGTGTGGATGTAGTTGGATTTGATTTGAACCTGATCCATTTACAGCCCTACTACCCACATTATGTGTGGGCTAGACCTAACTCAAAAGAAAATAGTTGCTTGAGCATGGACATTTATAGATCAAATCGAGTTAGACTAAGTTATAAACAATTTGCTACTTTTTATTATTAATTTTAATTATCCTATCAATACTAATTTTTATTAATTTCTTAATTTTTAATAGTTGCTAGACAAAAGTTGCTAAAATTTAATACTTTTATTAACTTTAGTAAATTTTTTATTAATTTTACAGCCCTACTGCCTACATTATGTGTGGGTTTGGTGTGGGTCTGAGCTAGACCTAGCTTAGAAGAAAATATTTGCTTGAGCCCAAAGTTGGGCTAAGTTATAAATGATCATCCCTAAGTGGAAGGAGTCTTACGACATTTTAATTATTTTTTATATGGAATGCAAATGGTTTATTTTATTAAATATTTTAGTTTTTTAATTTATGAACTACTAATTTTTATTAATTTCTTAACTTTTAATAGTTGCCACTTGCTAGATAAAAACTTGCCAAATTTTAATATTTTTATTAACTTTAGTAATTTTTATTAATTATAGTAATTAGGTTTCAAATTATTATTATTATTAGTCGTAGTAGAAGTATTATAATATTAGTATTATTATTTTATAAATTACAATCATTATTACTATTTTTATACGTCGTGTATCACATGTTACAGGTTTCTAGACGAACTAGAACCATTTTCAAAAATAGGTCAACACAAACCCGTTTAGCTTGTCTTCTTTGTCTGAGTGATAAACGGGTTTTACATTTTAAATTTTCATTATTTTTTTATTTTTATATCATTTTTAATGGGTCCTCTATTTTATATAAGTTTCTTGTGTAGTATGGGCACTATGCACAATAAAGGTCTCAACTCATAAAAATTATTAACTTTAACAATATTATTAATTAATTAATTAAAAATGAATTAATACAAAGTTATCAATAAAATAAAAATAATAAACAAAACAAAATACAACATTAGAACACAGGTTTTATTTGCAATATATCAAACCCATGTTTAAATCTTAATATTATTAAAACTTCCAATTAATATTTTTTGTATTTAAATTTCTTGTTTTTATTAGTGTTTATTAAGTTTGATATTTAAGTGGAATTGAAATGTTTTTAATTTTTACTAAGTTTTGTTAATATTTATTAGTTTTAAGTGGAAGTTTGATGGATTTTTAAATTAATAATTTTTAAAATAATACTTTTATTTTTGTTATTTCATGTTTGATTGTTTAACCTCAACCTATTTATATTCTTTGACTTATTAATATTTTACTTTATTATGTTGTATTACTATTCCCTCCCTCCCTCTTTCCCTCTCTCAAATGTCTCTTTTAATAATAATAACATGCACTTAAATAAGAGGCCTTCGAAAACCCAAAGGCCATCAATAGTAGTGTACAACTTTATTGATCTAATCAAAATAGACAATGATTACTTTTTTATATTTTTAAAACAAAAGAAAATAGGAAAATACAAAAAATGGAGAAAATAGAGAAATAGCTTCTCTCAAGGGAGAGATGCTAATATGCTAATATGTCTCTCAAGGGAGAGACATGCTAATAGATAGAGAGATAGATAGATAGATAGATAGATAGACCCTTTGTCGTCCATTGCCTGCACCTCCTTTCCCTTTTAAAGAGGTCTGGTGCAAACTTGTTCCCCCTAAGATCTTGGCTTTCTGTTGGGAAGTGTTTTATGGGAAAGTAAACACCTTGGATAATTTACAAAGGAGAAGGCCCTATCTCCACATCTCACCCAATTGGTGTACCCAAGGTTCAAAATATCGATAGCCCGATGCGCCGGTAGGGGCATATCAGTACTTGTTTTTTTACTTTTTATTTTTTTCAAAACTGGTTCAGGGGAGCCGGTCTAGGACCCGTCCATCCCCTGAACCGATCAGACCCCCGATACACCCACTATAGGGGCGTATCAGAAGGGTCTCAGAATGATACGTATCGGCCGATACATAACGATACTTTGAACCTTGGGTGTACCCTTTGCAGATCCCATGGTGAGGACTGCAACCATTTGCTAATTTCCTTTACTGTTATAGCAGATTTGTGGGATTGGCTCTTCTTGGTTTTTGGATGCAGGTGGAATAGGCCAGCAGATGTAAGCTTACTTTTTGACCCTTCTACCTTTGCTTGGTGCCATCGAAGAAGAAGAATATGGAGGGTTGCAAGAGCAGCACTACTTTGGACAGTGTGGGAAGAAAGGAATGCTAGAATATTCCAAGAGAAGGTGAGAAGACAACAATATTTGAAGGAATGTATCCTGTACAGGGCTATAGTGTGGCTAAAATCTTTGGAGTTATTTCAGCAGTTTTATTTTAATGACCTATGGAGGCATTGGGCAGAAGTGGCAAGTGGTTCCTCATTGAAGATAAAGATGCACATGAGTAGGATACCCCCACTTGAAGGATCCTTGAAATCAAATTTTGATGGGAGTAGCCTAGGCAACCCAGGCCCTTCTGGGATGGGAGGGGTTATAAGGAATGAAAGTGGTGTTGTGGCTCTTCTATTTTCAGGCCCATTAGGTGAGGGGGACTCCACAAGAGCAGAACTACTAGCTGCACTACAAGGGGTACAGTTTGCTGTACAGATAGGAGGGAGCAGCTACTGATAGAAGGTGACTCTAAGGTGGTTGTGGGCGGTTACAGAATCCAGAGACTGCAGTTTGGTGCTTCAGAAATGAACTTAAAAGATTCAAATGCTCGATGAGAAACTTGTATGTTAGAATACAATGGGTAGGGAGATCTGCCAATGCTATGGCTGACTGTTTAGCCAAGCAAGGGGCAATGAGGGAACATTTGTATTTGGCTCAGCTGTAACCTTTTTTAGTGTTGGATGGGTTAAGAGGTCGCAGCTCGTGCCTCTCCAAGTGTTGGATGGGTTAATATATGTATACATATATTAAATGACATTAGCATTAATATATAAACAATGCAATAATAATACATATACATATATTATGCAAGTAGAAAAAAATTGTGTTTAGCACTTTTAGGTATACTATTAGAGAGGTTAGGTGATTTACATTTGTATTTGGCTCAGCTGTAATCTTTTTTAGTGTTGGATGGGTTAAGAGGTCGCAGCTCATGCCTCTCCAAGTGTTGGATGGGCTAATATATGTATACATATATTAAATGACATTAGCATTAATATATAAACAATGCAATATAATACATATACATATATTATGCAAGTAGAAAAACATTGTGTTTAGCACTTTTAGGTATACTATTAGAGAGGTTAGGTGATTTACTACTAGGTCAAACAGCTTGTTTAGATGGCTCCCTAGCCAGAAAAAAGGGTCAGAAAACTGAGCTATGTCAGAAAACAACACTTTTAGGTATAGTACTCTAGTGCCATACATCTTCATACTTCTTAATATAAGACATCTTTCATAAAATAAATAAATAAATAAATAAAACAAAAGATGAGATCCTCCTTCCTCTTCTTCCTCCCCTCCCTCCTCCTCACCCCCCTTCTACTAAGGAGGCTTACGCCTGGACTACACCTTATGCATCCAAGTAGTGGAATGCCTTGCGTTATGCCTCTGTGTTTTAAAACATTGGCCAAAACAACATTCATAAATGCAATTAACAGAAAAGGCCCAACCCCAAGGGGAAACCTCCAAGAATAGTCATGGAAACAAAAGCATAAAATAGAAAGTTCAATATGACAAAATACAAAAATGAGTATTGGCACCAAAACAATCATAGAACTCAACTAAAAACATAATTCTAGTATAGATTCAATGCCACAATAATTATAGAAATAAAAAGAACAGATGCCGTAAGTACTCGGAAGCTCTTCACTATATGCAACATGGAAGCAAGTAAAAAAAACAACGGAAAATTGTCAAACTGCAATAACATGCCATTGATTGTTAAACAACAAAGCAGCAAAAAATACTAATTTTGAAGATTCAAGCTTCTAACCAACCGTAAGAATAGTAACTGAATATTCTCCCAGGAAAAGAAATTCCTGACAATTAACCAGTGTTACGCACATTCAATGCCTCTAACATCAGAGACGAGATTGCACGGCAGAGGAAACTTTCTCATGTGCCATCGAGTAATCGAAGTCAGAAAGACAAAAAAGAAATGAAAATCTAGAAATGAATATATACTACAAATTACCATGTACCACTAGCTCAATCGTTCCAAAACTTAGCAAAACAAGATCCAGCAAGCATTTACCTCCACCGAACTTCTAACATCTCCAGGAAACCGTCTATAGCGGTTCGTGTCGACGAATTCGAAACCCTAAGTCATTAGAGTTTCCTAATCCACAAACACGAAGAAATACATATCAAGCTTCACGGCACAGAATCACTAATCCAGCAGGAAACCAAAGAGTCTTAAATTTACAGGAGAAAACGAGTTTCAAAGCTAACCTACTCTTCCTCCGTTAAACCACTACCGCATTACAATTTAAGAGCTTATCCTCAATGAACCAGAGAATATTTAGATCAAAGCAAATAGGAGATTAAGTAGTCCGAATTTAAAAGCCAGTAAAGCTGAAACTGCTCTTAAAAATGCTTAGATATGTAAACAAAATCCTGTTAACATAATCTAGGGTTTGCACAACAATTGATGCTGCAAGGTGTCCTGAAATTTCATTGAACGACCGAGTGGAAGGGAAGCTGAAGAAAGAAAAAAAATCTCACCGAACAAGACCATTGCTTTGGTTTTATACCTTTATTTGCTGTGAAAATACGATAATAATGACACGGTGAGTGGCATTAACATGCCGTGATTTTTTTTCGATAACTACCTTCAGTGAAGTAAATTCCTGATATCCTCCCTGCATTTAGAGATGATAACACTTAACCTCCTGATATTTACAAAATCTCCCTCAAACGTCTAAATTCCAGCATTTTGCCCCTAATTCTCTAATAAAACTTAGATTTCTCATCTAAGATTTTGTAAGGCGACAAGAATTGGGATCTACTCCTTACAGAGCGCTCCTTACACCGACCTCACAACCACATCTTACATTCTTACCCTTTATTGGGAACATCTCCCATGAATAATAACAAATTAGTATGGGAGATGTTTCCATCCATGGTTGAAACATGATGTGAGACCAGTGTGAGGAGCAGATCCGGATTCAGCTGACAATAATAAATATCAAAATAATAAAAATAATCCTTGTATAGCACAAATTGTTGTAAGACATTGATCAACCAATCATTTTCAAGTCATTCTTAAGATGAATTTTGTTAAAAAGAAATTTAGAAAAGGGAAAATCTATGATGTAGAAAAGATATGGTATTGGAAGAAATTTGACCAATCAAAACCCACCCATGAATTTTGATAAATAACACCTAATTGGCTAACACATTTATGATTTCAATTGATTGGTCAGAAGTTTTTCAGATATCATATCTTTTCCATATCATCATCGAACCCGAGAAGAAAAACATGATTTTGTTTGCTTTCACAATCGAATAGCTCACGCTTCAAACCCAAAACCCCAACCCTGGTGTAGGCGGGATTTGATACCCAGTCTCCACTACAATGAGTTAGGATGCTAGAAAAATAAAGTCAAAAAGACAAATCATCTTATAAAATGGCATAAGGATGATTTGAACTTTTAAAAATATTTCACAAAATTAATTAAAAGACTTTATTGACCAAAGTATTGAAATCTAGGGATGGCAATTTTCTCTATCTTTGTCAGGTATTCCGCTTTCCAACCTAATGGAGATAGGGATGAAGAGTGAATTCCCCACCCCACCCTGCCCATGTTTATATATATATACAAGTCAAAGAATATGGTCCCGCTCCAAACCCGTCCCATTTCCATTCTTAATCAAATTCAAAAGAGGGCAAATGCCAATTCAAAACAAAGTTGGGAGGGTAAGTGTCACTTTCCCCAAGGTGGCTGTGCGTAAGATACCCTTCCTTTTCACACTGAATTGAAGACAATACAATAGACCTTGGTGTGGTAAAAGCTAAAAACTTTAAAGTGGGTAACTATTTACAACCCGCTTTTACCGTTTTCCGTTGCCCGACGGACGGCTTCGGCTCCTAGAGTTGCGTTGCGGCTGAGGTTCGAGCAGCTGAAGCCATGCGACAACACTCATTATTCACGTGAAAACCTCTGTCTTCTTATAATCCTATTTTAAAGCTTGGCGACTTTAATTAATATTGCCTTAATTAATGTAATTTATAAGTAGTTTAATGTCGTGTGGCTGTTATGTCTATAACTGCACAACATGGTTGTCGTTTGTAAGCTCAAACCATTAGATTGGGACCTTTTTTGTCGGTAGTTGTTGTTGCACGGTAGTCAAGATTGATTCAACAGTATGGATCCTTCGATAAAACCGTAGGATTGGAATAGTAAGGACCGTGCACAAGATGTATCTTAAGAACCATTGGTAGAAGTTCCAAATCCCAATGTATGGATCCCAATATGATGGGTATTGACTATTGAGATGTTGGAGTCGGACCATGGAATAATAGATCATTTATGGTCCAGATCCAACTTGGAAAGTTCCGATCTACTCTTCAAAGAGCGCTCTCACACAGAGCCCATAGCATAAATCAGTCGTGTATTAGGAATATCTTCCAATGAATAAATAACAATATAGGAAAATATTCTAAATGTATGGATGGTATGTGTTGTGAGGTTGGTGTAATTCGAACTCCAATTTTGATATATTACTCACAAAAAAAAATCTGAAATAATTTGACTAGAGGCGTGATGACAGAATATATTTATGGCATGTTTAGAACAATCTGCTTCTCTTAGGGGGTGTTTTGTAGTATGGATAAGAAATTAGTTGGTATGGACTGATCCACACTATATCCTGTGGCATAGACCAATTTACATCACACCACAGTCCACAGTTATTTTGAACTGTAAATATTGTGTGGACCGGATTAGCCCATACTCACGTTGGCGTTCTGTAAGTGTGGTGTGGACTAGTCCATAACACACTTTTTGATTCCACTCCACGTATCTTATATACATTTTATGGGAAATCTACACAATCAATCATAAATGTCTAATTTTTGCATTTGATATGATAAATAAATTGAAAAAAGATATCAATAAATTAATATGTAAACAATAATTGTACTTTCTAAATAATTAAAAAATATTATTGTAAATATTAAAAGATATATTTTAAATATTATTTTATTGATAAAAATATTACAAAAATTAATATTTAAATAATGAAAAAAGAGTAGAGAAGGAAAACCATCGGATTTGTGCTATAATTAATATTAAAATTTATTATTTTATTGATAAAATATTAAAAATTATTAAAAGATTAAAGTAATTCGACTAATATAACATAAGTGCATTATACTGAAACCTTCCCATTAACTATACACACCATAATATGGACCATTCACGAGAAAATACTATAAATAATAATTTGGGGTGTGGTCCATCTCTGTCCATACTATTTTGTGGACAATCCTCGCCAGACATAACAAAACACCATATTTTATCGTGGACAGGACCACAAAGGTCCCGTCCACAATATTTACACACTAACAAACGCCACCTTACCCACACCTTCCCATAAAACATTATAGCCACACTGATTCAAGTGAGCTTAAGATTCAGTTAACCTGATTCAACTGCTTTGAGTCTCTCCTGATAAGCTATTTAAATATATTGTAACACACGATAATAAAAAATTGGGTGCTTTTTTTTGTTTTTTTCTTTTTTTTTAGAACCTTAGCAAATGCTATCCAAGTAGTCAAAATTTAAATAGCACCCAACATCAAAATTATGAAAAACTCAATGGAAACATAGTAACATCTCTACGCCTCTGTTATGGGATAGTCGAACACGACATCCTTTCCTGAAAGCTTCCTGTAAACTGCTGTAAAAGTTTCAAGCTTGTATTCTGTGTTGTTCCGTTCCTTAGGGTCAAGCAAAATCTTCATAATTTTGGAACCATCAATGCGGTATCTAATCCGCTTCCCCACAATCTCAGCTGGATACACGATATCCTCCAACATGGCATCATGCACAGCGGTAAGTGTGCGGCTACGGGGCCGTTGCACAGCAGAGCCTTTCTTCGGGGGCCTCGATATCCTTCTGGTTGCAATGAGGATTACGTCCTTTCCACTGAATTTCTTCTCCAGTTCCCTTACAAGTCTAACATGAATTTTGCAGAAAGGTTTTCTCAGTCGGTACTCGGTAGGGAACATGGATAACAATAGCTTTCCGGTTGCCAGAAACATCAATTTGGACTGCAGAATTGATGTAAAGATGCTTGAGATCACTTTTAAGCTCCTGGTTGGTATTCTCCAAATCAAACAGTGACTGTGCAACTGGCTCCTCAAACTCAGAAGGTTCAGCCTCCTTGTCCTTCTGGATCTTCCTCCTTGCTGTATACATCTTGACTGATCTCACTCACTGCCGCTGGAGGCTCGATCTGAGAAAAGCCTTCACTTCTATCTCGCAGGTCAGAGAAAAATTGGGTGCTGTGATAGACACAGGACCCCAAACATCCAAAACTTCCAAACTCATATGATTTTATCTTGGTGATTTTTTAAACTGATATATCACATCCCGTATTGAGTGTATCATGCAAATAGTTTAATCGGCTGAAACACAACAATTACTATAACTTTCTAAAGATTGGTCTTACATGAATAATTTATAAATCATGTTCGTGAAAAATCTAGAGAGCCCAAATTGGTTGTCTGTCATTCATTTGAAGAATTGTCCCCTTCAGCCTCTTTGAATAATTTATCGGGACAGCTTCAAATCAACTTAGCGGAAATCTTCAGCTCAACCATTTTCAACGGGCCGTCAAATAACTGACTGACAGCTGATTTGGGCTCTCCAAATTTCCAACCTAAGCTGTACATGTGAGATTCACCTGGGAGAGTCAGAAACCGCTGTGCTTCAGCCCTCCCAAACGGGCACCTAGAGGTTTACTTCTTCTGTGTGCAATGAAAAAGAATAAAAAAAAAAAAGGATTAACAGGATCCTTTATCTGTAGTGATTGCACATGTCTCCTCATCCGATTGGCATTCTTTTAAAAGTCCGACCTGGAATTGCCTCAGTCAGCTATCCAGTTTACCGATTCAGTGGTTCAATACTTCAATTGAGTGGTTTTCTTGTTCAGTTGTTCTAATGTTTAAAACAGTCCAAATCTCTAGATTGGGTCCATTGCCTGGTTCACCCGTTCAACCATCTGGATCAACACGTACTGGTTAAGAGTCAAGTGTTGGTCTCACATGAGAGCGCAATTCACCAAAATCCGGGTTATAAATATCATTCCTCACACCACCTTGTACAGGGTATAGACATCTACGTCCCATTTGACAGTATGACACCAATCCAAGGAAAAGATACATAAGAAGTTAAACATCTTTTCCCCTTTAGATATCTTAAAAATGCTAAGTTGGTAATAGGATTAGATTTGTTTTATGTTTTATTCAAATTCCAGGGTAGCTTGTGTAAGGGGAAAATCTATGATGCGGATGGTACCCGAAGAGCTTTGTTCAATCAAAACTTACCCATAAATTTTGATAAATGTCATTTGATTGGTTAATATGTTTATGATGCCGCTGTTGATTGGTCACAAGTTTTTAGATATGATATCTTTCCGATATCATACAGGAACGAGGGAAGATGACTCCAACCTAATCTAGGAGTTGAGGACCTTGAGTGGGGTTGGGTTTGGATTGAGGGTTTTTT